ACTCTCTATTACCTCCAGAATAACATCTAAACTCCTCTTTGTTATTGAAAAGTTTGTCACAACTTTGTCCCATCCTATCTTTCTAGCTCTAATAATACTATTAATAATAATGATAAAAGTTAGCATTTATATAGCACTTTAACATTCATAAAACATTTCACAATTATTAACTCCTATGATCCTCATGATAATAGTCACTATTATTCTCCATATTTTACAGATGAGGATTCTGAGGCAGACAGAGGTTAAGTGACTTGCCCAGGGGCACACAACGAGTTAGTGTTTGAGTCTGGATTTATACCCAGGTCTTCCTAACTCCAGTGGGAGAAAGCCAGGCCTGAAGTCAGGAAGAGTCATCTTCCTGAGTCAAAATTTAGCCTCAGACACTTACTATCTATGTGATCCTGGGCAAGTCACTTAATCCTGTTTACCTCAGTTTCCTTACCTGTAAAGTGAGCTGGAGAAGGAAATGGCAAACTATTTCAGTCTCTTTGCCAAAAAACCCCAAACCCAAACCAAACCCAAATGTGGTCACAAAGAGTCAGATATGACAGAAACCACTGAATAACAACAAAACCTTCTGGACTGCAGGCTCTGTGCTCTATCTACTGTACCACCTTTATGCATTTTAATGTAAACTGCCTTTATGCGTTATTACACATTACTCCCTCTAACTACTCTACGATCTAGCCAAACTGCTCCTTTGTAGTTCTCCACCTGTGATGCTCCATCTCTCATCTCTGTGGCTGTGCGTGGTTTCTGTCTTCCTCAATGCCTGAAGCATATTCTCTCCTATTCTCCACCTCTTGGAGTTCCTGGTTTACTTCAAGACTCAGCTCAAGCACCATTTCTCTTTCTCTCTCTGTCTCTGTCTCTTTTTCTCTTTCTTGTTCTCTGTCTTTCTGTCTGTCTCTGATATACACACACATTGGGGCAGTTAGGTGGTGCAGTGGAGAAAGCATCAGGTCTGGAGTTAGGAAGGCCTGAGCTCAAATCTAGCCTCAAGCATTTATTAACTGAGTGGCCCTGGGCAAGTCACTTAACCTTTGTCTGCTTGAGTTTCTTTAACTGTAAAATGAGGCTGATGATAGCACCTACTTCATATAGTAAGTGCCACATAAAGTTAACTTATAATAGTATATATGTATAAATACACATTCACATATATTAGTATATATACACGGATACACATACATATATATTTTATATATATATATATATCACAAATATATACATACCTATACACAATACATATTATGTATACACACACACACATATGTGTGTGTGTGTATGTATGCTTATTGTGTCTCCATTAGAATGTAAACTTGAGGACTTGAGAGAGGGAACTATTTTGCTTTTGTCTTTGTATCTCCAAAATATAGCTTAGTACCTGGTATGTAGTAGATATTTAATGAGTAATATTTAGTAAGTGTTTGTTGATTGATTGATAATGCTGCTAAAATCTGCATACTCTGTCTACATCTTCAAAATCTGTGGATTCTGGGACAAATCCCTGCTTGCCTGGTCCTAGTCATGGCTCAGATGTAGATGGACACTCTCCTCACTGAAGCTGCTAAGACTGTGTGTCAGGGTCAGAGCTCACTACGGTAGAAGTGGAAGAGGAAGTTAGGAGTGAATGTTTTGATCAATTCATGGTTTGGGATGAACAAGAAGAAATTAGTTTGTCTACATAATTTCATCCTTCTTCCTGTGTTAAGCATGGCTAAAATCTGGAAAGTAAAGCGTTGGCTTCAGACTAGTCCAGTGGAAAATGTACTTGCTGAATCAGAAGTTCAAATCTCGGCGCTGCTGTTTACTATCTCTGTGACCTTGGGCAAATTACTTTCTGGGCCTCAGTTTCCTTCTCTGTAAAATTAGAAGGTTGGACTAGATGTCCTTTCTGATCCATTCCTACTCTAGATCTGTGGCCTTATGTCTCAGAAGACCTTTTATTAGTTCAGATCCACAATACTTTGTTGGATAGTCAAAAGAGACCATTTGCCAGTTCTGTATAGGAACTGCTACCACTGACCCCTGAAAAGCCCATAAAGCACTATTCTGTCATCTGGTGTCCATCTTTGCAGCCCACTGCTTTGGTGGAATGTTTTAGAAACTCTTTTATGACACATAAAGGAAATGACTGGTTTATAACGAATAGCCCTCCCAGTATTTAATTTTAAGTGGTTGGAATTCAGAGCTCACAAATTGCTCTGCAGAAACTTTCAAAGAGCATCCTATGCCAATTGGGATGATTTGGTCATATGAAAATATAGCCACAGCTCCTTTATCTGGCCTCCTTGGGCAACAAGGTAGTACATGTAAGCAGATAGCCACCTCTTACTTTTCTCAATGCTGTTTGGTTTGTGCTTATAGAACTTTTTTTGGTGAGGAAGTTCTATTAGTTTTATCACACATGTCCCTTGACCTCTGAAGCAGCAAAATGGGGGTGCATTTCAGGTCTTGTGGAATCCACAGTTTCAAATCCTATTCATTTTATGTGAAATCTTTCCTGATTCCTCCAGCTGTTTTGTCTCAAAATTTACCTTATATCTATACTTATTGTGATTGATGGGTGGCTTTTCTTTCCAATAAATAGTGATAGAAAACCACGGCAAATCACTCTAGTATCTTTACCAAGAAAACCCCCCAAATGGGGTTACGAAGAGTTGGACATGACTAATCGACGAGACAACAACAAAAATTTGTGTACTATATCATAGAGTTGTTGTGAGGAAAATTCTGTAAAGTTTAAAGTGCTGGAGAAATGAGTTGTTTGTTAGAACTCTCTCATAAGAATGAAGGACTGGGGCTCCCCTTTGAATAAAGGGAATATACTTGCATATATGTTTTTTGGTAATATCTGTTTTGGTTGTTCAAAGGAGTTTCTTTTTCTTTCCAGCTTGCTTCTTATAGTTAAAGTTGCTAGGTAAGTAGCCTTGTGCTCTCTGTCCTTACCCAGCCACCTCTCCCTTTCCTCCTCCCACATCCACATTCAAATTATGCCCATCTTTTAAAATCCAACTCAAATGTTACTTCCTTTGTGAAACTTGCCCTGATTCTCCCTCCTCCCAAGATGGAAATGGTCTCTCTCATTATCAAACATTCTTAGTGTCTTGTTGGTATGTATTTTACCACCCTTATTCAATTGTAAGTTCCTTGAGGTCAGCTAGGTGTTGCAGTGGATAGAGTGCAAGGGCTGGAGTCAGGAGGACCTGAGTTCAAATCCAGCCTCACACACTTACTAGCTGTGTGACCCTGGGCAAGTCATTTAACCCTATTTCCCTCAGTTTCCTCATCTGTAAAATGAGCTGGAGAAGGAAATGCAAACTACTCCAGTATCTTTGTCAAGAAAACCCCAAATGGGGTCACAAAGAGTCTGAAACAACTGAACAACAACAACAACAAAGTTCCTCGAGGGCAGGAACTATGTTTTATTTATCTTTGTATATTTGCCAGCACTTGGGATAGATATTTAGTACCTAGGCTAAGGTACCTACATAATAGGTATTCAATAAATGTTTGCTGAAGATGTATGATGATGCTGAAGAACTCCATTTTCTTGATCATATATTGCAACTTAAATGAATGTTAAATTTTCAGAAGTACATAAATATACACTAAATATTTAATCATTTCCAAAAACAATGGTGGCTGCAGCTTTTAAAAACTTTGTTCTTTACTACATAGTTTAATGTTTTCTACAGAAGACTGATTTTATATATTGCTCACATATCTTCAATATATTCTGTATAGCTTTAACAATGAATAAATAATACATTTTAACTTCTAGAACAAACTAAAAAAAATTAGATTCTTGCTAAATGAATGTCAGATGAGTGAGTTTTTACCATAGCGTCCTGGGTTCATGCTGCCTCTCTTCATACCCCTGGAAGTGGTTATAGTTTGGGCTGAGCCTTTTGGTGAGCCAGAAACTGATATGATTTGAGGAACCCCTGACCTTTGGTTTTGCTCTGGGTCATCTTTGAAAAGAAGTCGCCTTGGGGGTGGAGAGGGGGGATAATGTTTGTAGGGTGTTCTAGGTGATCCTAGGTAGTCAGAATTGGATCCATAGACCATATGTTGTTATTCCACAGGGTCCTAGATATTGTTTTAATCCTGGAGCTGTGCAATTTCTCTGACCTTTTAAAAAAAGTCCACAAGTCTAGGGATCAGTAGAGACCAGATTAAACCTCTCAGGGCCACTCTGGACTGGAATATGGTATACTCAAGTGTTTCATTATCTAGGAAGCAAGGTCAGGTGGAAAAGAGAGTACTAGACTTGGAGTCAGGAGACTTGGGTTCAAATCCCATCTCTGCAATTTACTATATGAACATGGACAAATCATTTAAAGCCTAGAAGTCTCAGTTTCCTTCTCTATAATATGGGGATGATAATAATATTGGTACCACCTACTTTGCAGGGTTGTTAGGAAAGCACATATAGACATGTGACCTAAGATGATGACTATTATTTTTGTCTTAGAATTCACCTTCTTCCCTTCATTCTGAGTCAGAACTAGATGCTGTAGCAGTGGAATTAGAGAGGTAACTGACACACTCTCTCTTGTTATAAAATAATTTACTGTCTTTAATGGGCTAACCTTCCTTACAAGAAAAAGTAGCATAGCATGGTGGGTAGAGCACTGAACATAGAGTCAGAGAGACCTTGGGTTTGAATTCCACCTCAGATACTTATTAGCTATATGACCATAGTTGAAATGCTTAATCTCTCTCAGCCTGTTTCTTCATTTGAAAAATGGAGATAATAATACCTGTAGTAATTACATCACCATGAAGTAATCTACATAAATACAAATGAAATTTATGCATTGTACATACAACACTTTATGAACCTTCAAGTGCTCTATAAATGCCAATTTTTATGTTATTATCTCATTTCTCAGGATCCAATTATAGCTGAATATTTTAATCCTCAAAATTCAAATTTCTAAGAGTTAAAAGATGAAATCAATTATTAACTTTGATGATTTCTATTGCAGGGAAACAAAAAAGGATGGCCTTTAAAGATGTTTGGCTTTTTTTTCAGACCAAAAGTCAAAGGTATGCTATGTAGCTGGTAAAGAATTACAGTATATTTATTTCCTTAGTAATTTAATGAAATATAAATGTGTATTAGAATGCTGTTTGAGACATGATGATATAATAATGATATAGTGATAATATAATGAACTATAAGTGATTTGGTTATTATTCAGTTCAGATTTCATCCCCTGAAACACAGTTACTGTATTCATTCATTGTTTCCCTGCATTCAACAAGTATTGGGTAAATACATAAGGTACCATGCTAGGTGATAGGGGAAGTACATAATTAAATCTAGATGTGATTTCTGCCCTCAAGTACCTTACCGATAGACATTGAAGTTCATGAGATTATAGAATGTCAGAGGTGGAAGGATTCTTTGAGGTCATCTAACCAACTCCCTCATTTTATAGATGAGGAAATTGAGGTTCAGAATGGTTAAATGATGTGTGCACGCCCACACAGGTAGTAATAGAAAGTGCTCAGGATTTGAAACTAAAGTGTCTAGCTCCAAAACCTTTAGTGTTTCCAAATGATATATATTTAAAGGGATTTCCAAATATTAATCTCATATATAAATGTTATTTGTTAGTATCATAATTACCATCATCATCAGTATCATTTCTTCTTGTGCTTGTTATTTTGTAGGTACTTAATGCATGCTTGTTGATTGATTAATTGAAGAGATAGCATGTAAGTTGGGATTCTTAAGGTTGGAAGAAGTTTTAAGAGGGAGAGACATTGGGGGGGGTGGGTCTCTTCTGTCCATGAGAGAGGTAGGATGGCCAGAAAGAAGAAAGTTGGATGGAGTAATATGAGACTGGGGAAAAGTGAAGAGTTGTATTTGAATGTGCAAAAGGGAATCCAAAGAAGGTTGGAGTAAGATTGCGGGAGGTCTTGAATGCCTGGTTAAAGAGTTTGCATTTTATTTTATAAGCAATAGAGTCATTGAAGATTTTTGTATAGGGGAATGTGATGGTCAAACCTATACATTCTATATGACATCTTTCCTGATCCCTCTAGCTGCTTCTCCTCAAAAAATTACCTCATATCTGTTACACAGATATAGAGAAATACATAACTCTTTTTCTTTCTCTCATTATCTGTTTATCTGTATCTATCTATCCATTCCTTCCTTCCTTCCTTCCTTCCTTCCTTCCTTCCTTCCTTCCTTCCTTCCTTCCTTCCTTCCTTCCTTCCTTCCTTCCTTCCTTCGTCTCTGTCTCTCTGCCTCTGTCTCTCTCTGTCTCTCTCTGTCTCTCTGTCTGTCTCTGTCTCTCTCTCTGTCTCTCTCTCTCTCTCTGTCTCTCTCTCTCTCTCTCTCTGTGTCTCTCTCTCTCTCTCTCTGTCTCTCTCTCTCTCTGTCTCTCTGTCTCTCTCTCTCTCAGAACCAGTCTCTTGCCTCTCTTGCCTCAGAACCAGCAAGACCCAGCTTCAAGTTCCACCTCTGATACATACTGGCTGTGTGACCCAGGGCAAGTCTAATAACTTCTCAGGGCTCTAGGCAACTTTTTATTTTCATTTTTTAGAATATGGTTGCCCATTTTATATTTTTACATTTTTTACATTAAAATTTTATTTTATTTTTCTCAATTACATGTAAACAAATATTTTTAGCATTCTTTTAAAAAATTTTTGAGTTCCATAGTTTCTCCTTTCCTCTATCCCTTCCTCCTCCTTGAGAAGGCAAGCAATTTGACATTAGATTATACATGTTTAGTCATGCAAAACATGTGTCTTAGCTATGTTGCAAAAGAAAATGCAGACTGAAAAAAACCCAAGAATAGTAAAGTAAAAAAGGTATGTTTCAATCTGCATCCATATTCCATCAGTTCTTTCTCTGGAGGTAGACAGCATTTTTCAGCATGTGTCCTTTAGAATTGTCTTGGATCATTGTATTGCTGGAAATAGCTATACCATTCACAGTTGATCATCATACAATATTGCTGTTACTGTATACAATGGTCTCCTGGTTCTGCTTATTTCACTTTGAATCAGTTCACAAAAATCTTCCTAGATTTTTCTGAGAGCTTGCTGCCCATCATTTCTTGTAGCACAATAGTACCCTATCACAATCATATACCACATCTCTCTCGTTCAGCCATTCCTCAATTGATGAGCATCCCCTCAATATCCAATAATTTGCCACCACAAAAGAGGTGCTATGATATTTTTGTATATATGGGTCCTTTTCACTTTTCTTTGATCTCTCTGGTATACAGACCTAGTAGTAGTATTGCTGGGTCAAAGGATATGTACAATTTTATAGCCCCTTGGGCATAGTTCCAAATTACTCTCCAGAATCTAGGCAACTTTTTATAAATTGAAGAGAAGGTATTGACCTTGAGCTATAGAGAACATTCTACATTAGGAGCTCCCTACATGATAGAAATAATAGGTCCATTCTCTCTCTCTATATATTTTGTCCATATTTTTATGTATCAAGTATCTCCTCTGATAGAATGTAAGCTTCTTGAGGTTGGGAACCTTCATTTTTTTGTCTTTGTATTCTGCCTAACAGACAGCCTGACTCACAATAGGTACTTAATAAATGGATTAGCTGACTTTCACCTTTTCCCTTAACTTACTGTCTTTGCAGCAAGTTAATAACCCTTGACTGATTGACTTGGCAACTGCCTGGGTATATAGGTGATGGCAAAGAGGGAAGAATCAGCTATGACTTCAAAATTTCCAGCCTGCATGACTGGGAGAATTGAATTGCCATCAAGAGAAACAGGACATTGGGAGGAGAAGCAGGTTTTGGATATGTTGAATGGGATATGCCTGCAGAAATCTAGGGAGAGATGTCCAGCTGGCAGCTGGACCAGAGGCCTAGGGAAGGGGCTGGAGCTGGATATATAGGTTGAAATGTCATTTGTATAGAAGTAATCATTGATGCCACAGTGGTAGACAAGATCACTGACTGACTGAATATGAAGAGAAATAAACACTATTTAGTCAAACCTTTCTTTTTACAGATGGATCAGAGGTTCAAAGAGAGGAAATGGTTTCTCCAAGGATATATATCTATTTACCAATATCTGTTTTTTAAAAAATTAATTCCTGTGTTTTTATATTTTGAACTTGAATTCATGCCTCTATATATTCCTGTATAGTCTAAATATCTGTGAATATTTCGACAAATATAGATAAACTGAGAACACATCTACATTCTTGTATAGATTAATAGATTAGGTCTCTGTCAGTATCTTTTGAATTTTGATTATGATATTTTCCTAATAACACAATTTGTCTTTTTATAATGAGGTCATTAAGAAGCTAGCCCATAGGAGACTTGACTGTTGACTGCCCAGGGCCTATAGCACACTGTATGGATTGTAGCACCACAATGAAAAAGGGCCAGATAGTTGGATTTTTCTTTTTTTGGTCAACAAATATTTATTACCTGTCTTTTATGTGCAAGGCACTGGCCTTCCATTTCATTAAAAGGCCAAGGGTGAAAAAGAGGATTCCCCTAAAGGAATAATAGATAAATAAAAGTGAGCAGGAGATTCCAGGCATAGGGGACATTCATAACAATGGCACAGACTGGAGAGCACAGGGTGTGTTTGAAAGCCTGCTGAAGTCATCCATTTTGACCCAAGCCTTAGGAATTATATGGTCAAGTCACAATCCAAGTAGGAGTTTAAGGAATGCTTGTAATGTATCCCCTTCCACTCCTTATTGCTCTTGTAAACTGAAGCGTCTTTAGCACCTTAAAAGGAAACAAGGAACTCTCTTAAATAGAGAAAAGGCAGAAGTGAGAATTGACTCTGAGGAAATGATATTAGGGTCAGCAGCATTTCTCACCTGAGTTTTGGGTGAAAAGTCACCCACGAATGGCAATGAGTCTAATTGGGGTCCATCCTGGATCCCTGGGTGTTTCAGACTCCAGTCTCTAACTTTCCTTCCTATGTTCAATTCTTAATCTCTTAGTATCCTCCTGCATTCTTCCCGGGCTCTAGTCTATGCCTAGGATGGCTGGGGATTCGGACTTCTCATTAACACCCTACTTGGAAGGCCTGATTTTCTACTTGTCATTACTGTGTAGCTGGGAACACTTTCATCCTTCCATCCTGAGAGCCTCTAACAAAATGAAACCACTTTGATGGCAAGAGAAGTTTATCAAATAATTTCCTAATGAGTATAATGACCTTGAAGCAGGATCCAGGAAGCTTCTCATCTTATGTGAGCAGAATCACATTTCAGCTCCACAGCACCATCTAGTGATGTGAGAATGAGCGTACTGGTACCAAACGAACTTTAGCAGTGGATTAATAAAATATTAGGACAAGAAGAGACCTTAGAAGTCACCTGATCCAACTAGCCCCATCACTTTATACCTGGGGAAACTGAGGCTGAAAGAGAGAATGACTTACTCAACGTTACAGAGCTAACTAGTGGCAGCACGAAGGCTAGAACCATGGTTGCTTTGAGTCTCTCTGTCAGGGTTCATTCCACTAGGCCACTCTGCCCTGATCTGGTGGAACACTTCTTGGACACTTCAAAAGATCTTTGATTTCCATTTTAGATAAAAGCACTTCTGTGCCTTCAGAAAACAATTCTGAGTGTCCTTCCTTTTGCTCTCCTCTCATTAGAACTAATTAGACCCATGGCCCAGAACATGATTCTCAAAATTAATCAGATAAATTAACCTGGCGTCATCATATTAGTATATTCTCCCTACAGCACATTATAAAGACAGAGTACTTTGCACATAGCTCATCTGATTCTCACAACAAGCCTATAAGGGGGGTAAATACGAGTATTGAAACCCTCATTTTATAGATGAGTCTCACAAAAGATAAATTGTCCAAGGTTGACTAGCATGTGCCTGAACTAGGACCATAGTCCAGCTCTTCCCACTCTGTGTCCAGAGCTCTTTCCACAATGCTGGACAGAATACGTATGGTCATATATCTGGAAAGGACCTCAGAGACTAACCCAATTCCCTGTTTTTCAGATGAGGAAACTGATGTTTATGCAATTTAAGTGACTCTCTCCAAGTTTCACAAACG